AAAAGTTTTGGTAAAAAATAGGAAAAGAAAAAAAAAAAAGGAGAAAAAAAACCCAGCCAAATATCCAGACTGCTTAAGAGTTTGAAGGTGCAGTTCTAAGCCTTTGAGAGACAGAGATAAAATGGATGCAGTAGGTATCTTTCATGATTCACAGTTATTGTTTCTCTTACCGGTGGGGGAAAAAGACATGTTGATCTTTGTAACAATAGATGAATGCTTATTCTCATTCACAGCTTTTTTTTTTATGAGAACATTGTTCAATATCTGTTAAAATGCTTAATATCTTTGTACTTGTCCCTGTAATTAACAGTATTCTGCATTGTGTTCTAGGCACTTAAGAAGACTGGTCTTGCATTGTATTTAAAAAACACTTTAATATTTAATTTGTAGTCACATCATACAAATGCTGTGTGTGTACTTGTGGTGCATCTTCTTTGACTGAATCATTTCCAAAGAGAAAAAGAAAAAAGAAAGCAAGTCTTACAGTACCTTTTTTTTTTTTACTTTAATTCACCAGTTGAAATCTGATCAATTCTAGTATGCAAGCATGATATTGACAGCACAATCTGTACATATTATACCAAAGTGCTTACAGTATTTGTGGTTTCTAGGACTAGTCTAGTTTTCCAGTATAACTGGATGTTAGTACTTACTCATTTTTGTGACTGAATAAAAATAGATTGAATTTCTGGATTTCATATGTATGTAGAAAGAATAGTACAATGCTATCGCCATATGTCTTGATGTTTAACTTATTCTAAAAAATACTATGGTATTGTAACCATTTCATATTGTATAAAAGAAACAAAAGCGGACTGAATATTTCACTAATTCTTTTGAAAACTGGTTTGTGTGTGAGTATGGGTTATGCAAGGAAAAAACACAACACAGTTGTAAATGTTTGTGCTCACTAGAAATGGTTTCCATGCATTGTGTAAAGTAATCTTCTATTTTTTTAATTTACAGTAGGTTTATGTGATATTTAAAATAATCCATTTGTGCTTGAAGCTGTCAGGAAAAATTACTAGCCTGGGGAAAGTTGTGCCGTTGCTTTGAGTTTTTGTGTTTCGGGGAGGGGTTAGTGTTCTGGGGTTTTGGGGGGGGAGCTGGGTGGCGTTTGGTTTTTTTGTTTGGTGGGGTTTTGTTTTGTGGGGTTTTTTTGTTTTGTGGTTTTTTTTTTTCTTTTTTAAAATGGGAACTCATATCAGTGGAGATCAGGGCTTGAAAGCTAAGGGCACAAGCATAGGAGACACAATTGCTCCCAGCCTTTTGATAGTATGAATCAATGATTTGTTATCCAGCTATTTCAAGCTCTTTATA